AAACCACTTCGCGACCTCCAATACTCAAGCAATCTCTTTCACCAGGTGGCTGCACATTCCGCTGTACCATGCCGAGCGTGCCTGGGCGTACGCGATGGAGCTGAAGCACGCGACCGACGGTCCGACAACTAGGATGAGGTTTCACCTGCTGAAGCGGTTACAGAAGGCCGCCAAGCTTGCGGACAAGTTTGCGGCGCTCTGCGCACAGAGGGCGGACGATCAGACGTCACTCGAAGCTGAGGTGAGCATGACCAAGAGCAAGGGTGAGAAGCATGTTCGGCCTACTTTTTGGGATGTTGATCAGTCTGCTCTGATGAGAGCTTGTGTCAAGCGTAACGGGTTGCTTTGGTGGCTTGTGTGACCATCAGCGTATTGAAGGAGAATTGCAAATCGTGGAAGCTTCCACTATCAACATTACCCTTTTCAAATTTGCATCACCGCTAACCTGCCTCAATGTTTGACGTCAATGCAGGCGTATGCTGCGTACATGTGGGGAAGCTTGTTGCTCGAGCGGGAGAGCGACTGGCAAGAGGCCCTGAAACGATTCTCGAAAGCGAAGTGAGTTCGGTTATTAAGACGCGGAGGGCCGTCTGTGCTGCCCAGTGTTCGTGTAGGCTGGCAATGCCATTTTCCGAGTAGGTCTATGACCTGAAAAGTAGAGCAACTGTTAGGTGGGCAGATCACGTGTGGCATCAATGGAGGATCTGCGAGGACTTGTGAAGTGCATAAAACCATCGGGCAGCTTCAACATCCTCGAAGGCCAAGTTACGAAGTAGAGTTGATGCAAACCACAGTTTTGCCTGCCTTACACACACCTTATGCTCTGACCAGCAAAGCTAACGAGGAGCTACCTACTTACTCTGCTCGTCTTCGCTTTTTTGCACTCCCGCACGATCCATGGGCAGTGGGAATCAGTCAGGGATGCAAGCAACAAGATCCACTCGAAACACTCGTAATAACGGGAGAAGCGCAAAGGAAGCCCTATACTTCCGCAACTTTCAAGCTCATAAGGTTCCCTTCAACTTTGCAGGACGATCTACGAGCAGTTGGGGACTGTGGGGACCGTCGAGCAGCGCGTGCTGTGTCGGGAGCGCGTCGAAGAGCTCGAGCCGAGCATACGGTACTGCAAATACAAAAGCGGGGGTGGCGCGCAAGCGGAGGATCTTTCCGAGCTGACGAACCAGGAGGGGCCGGGGATGGACATCTTGCAGTCGAAACTAGAGGTGAGTATTTGCGTGGACGCCCCTCCATGATCCTTCTTTATCGCACATACGATTGCTGAGTAATCTGACTTGCTGACGCATACTCGTTCGGGCCTGATGTCCGAGATCTATTCTGGAACGGATGGGGATCAGGTGCATTGCCTCTGGTGACGTTCTCACTTCCTCGAATCTGTCCCAGCGAACTTTCGAGATTTCGTGAGCACCAAGCCGGGCAACTCGTGCAAGTTTCTGACGGCGCCCGTGAATGTTGAGCCTGATGAGAGAAGCTCCGACAATCGCAATTCGAAAGCCTTAGTCAACAGGACTTCTGTCAAGGACATCAAGTGACTTACGTCAACACTATAATCAGACAAAAGAGTTGGTCGAGTATTCAAGTCGACAACCATACAAAGTTTGAGAAGGCGAAAAGAGTTCCCTTACATTCGCAGATGGTGATGGAGGAGGCTCGGGCGAAGCAGGCGGCCAGCATGACGGAGCTGCCGTGGCAAGGACGGCGCCTCCCGGTGCGGAACGAGAAGACACGCGTGTGCATACTGCGGGGTAAGAGCAGCGACCACTTTTGGGTACTATGTTGTCTTCGGCATCTTCAAAGATCAGTGCGTCTGTGTCTACGATGGTGGCGTTTTTATATCTTGACTTTCGGGTCTTTGGTTTTTGGTTTCTGGTTTCTGGTATCTGGTATCTGGTTTCTGGTATCATCCATGCACGGCAGATTCCGTGTGCATGGTGGGAGATGCGGTAGCTGCCACAATCAACTTGCAGCAACTCCCTGGCGTTTGATAAATCCGTCCCAGTGGCGCAGCCTTGCGTCTGTCGTCTTCTCCGTTAATGACTTCTCCATTCTCGGAGACGTTGGCTGCACTCGGAGTCGAAGTCCGTTGCTTCGCGCGTCTCTGCAGTTGACGACCTAATGAAGGACCTGGAAAGCTAGTCGCAGCCCTGCGCCTGTCGACTTCTCCGTTGGTGACCTCTTTCCATTCTTAGAAAGGGTGCTGGTCTCTGATTCAACGTCAATTTTTTACGTGTTTCTGCAGTTGACGACCTGATGAAGGACGTGGACTTTGCCGCACGCTGTCCCAGCAAGCTCTCAGTCGAGAAACTTCAGTAAACTCTTTGAGATGAAAAAGAGTTGACAATCTTCTTCTGCAGTTGACGACTTGATGAAGGACCTGGAAGGTTCCGCGAGCAGCCCGCTGACGCACGAGCGCCGGTTGGGCATCTACGACAAGGTGTTCGTAGCGCTGCAGGACGCCAAGAAACACGTGCGGGACGACCTGGTGAGGGCTTCTGCTTTCTTGTCTTCCCCTCAAAAGTCCTCTTGCTTCACTTTGTTTCCGTCTTGCTTTCCATACCCTTCATCTTGCTTTTTGTCCGTTCCTGTTTTTGAAAAGTTTTCTCGTCGGACACGGTGTGCTCATTCGGTCTTGCTTCGCTCCCCGTTTCTCCTCATGGTTTCTTTTCCTTCTTGTCCCTCTTATTTGTCCCCTTGTTCTTCCAGGAAGCAGACGCCTTCGCGATGCCTGCCAACCCCTCTGACTCTCCTCTCATCCCTTTTCTTTCCTTCGCCCAGCCCCTGTCGCCATCTCAGAATTCACAAAAATATTCTTCGTTTCTCGCAGGAATCTTTTACCAGCCTTCCCTTTGAAACTTTCTGCTTCAGGGTTTGTGGCCCGGCTTGTAAATGTTCGAAGCACTCCTGTGTGATACTCAGACGCGTTCGAGTTTTTGGCCGAAGGAGGCGTCCGCTCTCTTCTTGGTGTCATCTAAGGGGGATCATCCGAACCACTGTGCACCCCGTGGGATCATGACACCATCTGCTTGCTGCAGGCCTCTGCGGGAGGGGCCACCGCCCCAGCTGACGTGGCGGACGAGCTGCAGTCGCTGGACAACGCGGTGAGCGGAATGCTTCTGCAGCGGACCATCGAGCGGAACCAGCTGTTCGTAGAAGCCGCTAAGGCCAAGCTCGAGCGACAGGAGCGGGGGCTCCCAGGGGAGAAGGGCGAGAAGGCGGCACGGCCGGAAGACTTGGTACGGCTCTCTCCCTTTTGTTCCCGTCAGCTCCTTCGAAACAAAGAGACGAGGATGGTTCAGTCTCGTGAGAAGGCGGTGGCGTCTCATGCCCTCTCTGTGGCGCTGGCAGACGGTGCATCGGCCCATAATTTGCGGTTCTGCAGCTTGGCTTCTGACAAGGTTTTGGTAAGGTGTCTTGTTCTTTCTGCCGGGTGCAACTGCGTGGATCTCATTTGACATGGGTTGCCGTTTTGCATTCTGTCTTGTGCCCTTTCATGACGGGATCACACAGTTCTGGGCCCCTACGCCACATAACCGTAGGTGTTGAGAAGAGATCCCTTCAGGTGCGGCTGTCGAGAAGAGATTCCTTCAGGTGCGGCTGTATGATCTGCCTCAGGACTCCCATCTTCGCAATTTTCCGTGACTTCTGAAACCTGCAGTGTAAAGAGTTTCCCGGGCGCCTGTCCAACCAATCTTTGTGTCCTTACGAGGGGATTGCAAAACTTTTTCTTTATGTGGCCAGGTACGACTGTACGACACGTTGCTCCAGAATGTGTCGGATCTTTCGGACATCGCAACTTCGGTACGCAATCGGAAGGAAGAGGACGTCGAACTCGAGAAGGCTTGCGAGGCGAAGCAACTTGCGCTGCGGGCCTCTAGGTGAGTGAGTCTGGTGAACGGCTTCCCGAATCAGGTGTCGCCGTTTCGTGCTTAAAGATACTTTCTCTGACTCTAGTTAAGTTCGTCTCAAGGAATCTTGTCTGAAAGCATCCCCTAATTTCGTACATCGACCATTTGTCTCGGATCTCCCTCAACACTGCAGAATAACGGATGTCGTATAAGAGGCACCTTCTGCTGCTGACGTCACCTGTTTGAAGGTGTTCTCCCATCTGTGCGAAGTGGCCTCTTGACCCGACTCCTGTCTCTCCAGGTGCTTCTACGTGGCCCAGTCTTACTCCAACGCAGCCAAATTCGCGGAAGCGTACGTGCTGTTCAAGCGCGCGGCGGAACAGGCGCAATCGGCATCAGAAGCGTACCGAAAAGTGAAACGCCCGGACGAGGTGAGAGATGCGTCGGCTCGTCTGCATGTTTCCTTTGATAGCCGATGGTAACGCGGGAATTGCTGGAGCGTGCATCTCATGAGAGACCTCGACTTCTCGTGAGAACCTCCAAAGTAAGATGTCAGCCTTCCTTGTGTGAATCCTTCCCCTTAAAGTGGGCGTAGGACATGCATGTCCACCCCGATCGGACGGTCAGATCAAGAACTCCGAAATATCATCGGACGTCGAAAAATCTTGCGGTACGGGACCTTTTAGGAACCAGCCAGTATGCGGTACCGACCGAACCTAGGCCTTCAGGCAGGGACTGGACGCTGTCCGAAAGTCCGGTACCTGAGAGTACCGCGGTTCCGAAGGGTCTACGTCATCATACGTCAGCTGCGGAACGCAGCAAAAAGGAAGGGGCAAAAGCGAGCAAGAATATTAAAGTTGTGGAGTCGAACCCGGAAGGATGATTCTTGACATTTTCAAAGCGAGCGCGCTTGCCACTTCGGTCAATCTGCCAGAAGTCACAGAGGGGATGTCAAAATCAGTTCCGGAAATCGGCTCTTATACCCTGACGCCCACTTTAAAGACGTTGCAAAGGTAACAAACATGTCCGTCAAGAATTTCGTGTTCTGCACGAGTCTGCTTCTGGCGTGTTTACGGAGGACGCTCATGACGCCCTGGGCTGCGCCCGGACGCTGACCGATTTGACTTTCAGGTATTTGCGACCGAGTATTGAAAGGCTTGTTAGCATGTGTCAGTGCTGATTGTAAAGTTGTCTGATTGTTCGTCGGTGCTATTGCAGAGAGACGTTGCGGACGCTCAGGACGTCTTGAGCCGCGCTCGGACGCAGCGCAGCCTGGTGCACGCCCGGGGGTGTGCTGAGGCGGCGCGCTCGGAAGAGGCCGTGCAGAAGGGGGTGAAGAAACTAGACCTGAGGGACGCGGCGGTGAAAGATAAGGTATGAGCTTGGACCTCTGAAAAGTTATTCGTCATCTCTGATTCTGGCCTTTTGCCGGGGTGATGAAACCATTCGAGAGATGTCGCGAACAGTATATGATTTGAGTGATGCGGTGGCAAAGGATAAGGTACGTGCGAAAATCTCGATGGGAAACTCTCCTCTGCGCAATCCGCTGTACTTCTCTGATTTTGGGTCCGTTTTCGCTTTGCTTAAGAAATGTCGACGAGACAGACGATGTCCTTCTGAAACTGGAGGGTGGATTGTTGTTGTCTTGGCTCGTGCGAGTCCTGCGTGTGTTTCTAAAGCCCGAGTGATTCGATGCTCGTCAAGTGACCTTACCCGTTATTGCCTTCAATGTTTTCAAGCCGCAGGTAGGGAAACCTAAGGAAGTTGAGTCTCCGCAAGTTGTTTGCGATGTCCGTGTATGAGGCTTGGATCTGTCTTCAGTCCGAAGATGAATCGTGTGTCACTCCCACTCTTACTACAGGGTGAACGGAAACCAACTCTTCTAGAAGCGCTCGACGAGTACGTTCCTGCCATAGGGGCCGCGAATTCAAAGGAAGCTCCCCGGATAGCGGAGATACCCCCGGCGTTCCAAGCCGTGCCCTGTCGACCAATCGTGTTGGATACAGCTCTGAACGCGATCACCTTCCCGTCACTGGAACACAAGGTTAAGAAGGAAGAGAAGAAGAGTGGCCTGCTCGGTTGGTTCCGAAGGTAGCAGACCGTGGGTTATGTCTTGTGCGGACGAAGGTATCATTGCCAGCGCAGTCCTGTATTATGCAGAGAGTTCGAAGCCACGAGGTTGTGAGAAGCAGCACCGCGAGCGCTGCGACTCTGTTTTTGAAGCAGCCCTTGATCATGCACGTTGTCTGATTATTAGTATGACCAGACATCTTTGCATGCCGTCACGTGTGCTTGTTTGACCTCGCACTCACACCAAAGCTTAGCGGCAGCCCAAGGGCGACCCTGTTCATGCAACCAATTGTCAGTGGCAGGCTACTCGGCTGATACACGCGCGGCCGGTCGTATATACGGCCTCGTGTGCGCCAGAGATACTGTAGTTTGCATTCAAGGCATGCTGCAAGAGCCTGCAATGATGTGGTCGAGGCAGGCTACTATCAATTCTTGCGAGAGAAAGTGAGATGAGAATTGCACGCATCTAGCCACAAATCAAGAATACGCATCTCACTTTCTCGATCTCACATGTAATACATCAGCATGCTGATGTGTAACATGTTCGCTTCAATTTCATGCCTGATTTACTGCACGCACATGCAGAAGCTGCAGTGTCAAATAGCTCAAAAAATCTTCATACGCGCGGCCAGCGGACATGGCGCATTCTCTTTGATTTCCATTTGCAAGCCCCATCCGGCACACTCCGGCTAGCCGTGGAATGCGCATTGTACAGCGCACGTCACGCACGCACTGCAGTTACACAGTTATGGCAGCGAGATATATGCCCTTTACCTCCACGTCATGCCAACAACGTGAGCAAAATCCTGGAGCTGGCAGTTGGAAGGAGGTATACCTTGCACGCTTGGCTGGGGGCCCCGTGATTTGGAATTGACAGCGCATTCAATGTGATCATCGCAATCCGACGAGCAGTTAACCACAAGCTGAAGGTCAGAAGGATACGCAAACTGGCACCAGGCTCAGCATATGATTACAGTTCAAAATAAAAGCTGGTAGGCCGCCAAGCACACATGCTCCCACCGTCGTAGAATCCTGGCCTATCTCGCACGTCGAATTCGAAGACCTGCAACTCCGAAATCACCGTTTGGATTGCAAAAGTTTCATTTCAAGACGATCAAGGCCCATCCGGACCTGAAGCTTTCGACCGATCCATTTGCCACGAGGCAGCTGACTAGCTGATTTTCACGAAAACTTTCATTGAGGCTTATATAGAGTGTCTGGAGGTCCGAATGACGTCCTTTCTCTTCTTTTTCAGTCTCTGACTTGCTCAGAGCAAGACAGGTGTGTCTACCTGTGTAGGTGGAATGTCTGAACCAGTTCGTATTGAAAGTCAGAATCCTTTTATAATCTTTCGTAATATCTTCATCAACAATGTCTTGAAACAAAAACCCTACCCTTGTTACATGTTCTCCGCTTCCGCGCTTCTTCATTGAGGGTACCGGTGTGCGGCACGCGCACCATAGATGTGGCCGGACGAGCAGACGTCAAATGCTGCGCTCGCTGCACCAAACAAACTGCAAAGCTCCCAGTTGTGGAAGCGGGATGAAATGCGCTGCATTGGCCTCGCGCAAAAGGGGCACTGCTTTGCTTCAGGCGTCTTCAGTGCTGCCTTGCGGTCCAACGCAGCCGGCTCTTTTTCACAAATAACCGCATCGCCTGTTGTGTGTGCAAAGTCAGAAGCGAGGGCGCTGACGTCCGCCACCAAACCCCGGTAGACCTCAACAATCGCCTGTGTTGGAGGACTTCTCTCTACCAGGGGAACCTCTTTCCACACGTTCCGATTTGGACCCTGCGTCTTCCACTCCGTGTACGTGCTTCGGACCACGTGAGAAGGTCCACTCTCGCAGTTGCTAAGCAGAAAGAACGGACTTTTGGCGCGGATCAGACCTGGCAGGATCTTCTCTCCTTCACTCAGGAAGGTGGGGGGTGACTCTAAAAGCCAATTGTCGCTGACATGGCTCTTCAGGGCAACATTGAAGGTCTCGAGGCCTTTAATCTGTCCTCTGGTATTTGTAAACAGCGTTTGGGATGTACTGTAGGGTGTGACGTACACCAGGTAGACCAACTTGCTTCGATAGCCAGGGCACCTAGTCAGCAGCTTTGCAAAGCAGTCCCAGCCTGCATCTCCCGGGCTCTCCTTGTCTGCACTCAGCAGGATCTCACACAGATCTGGCAGCGCGTTCCTGCATGCGCGCTCCCAGCCGCGCTCCTTCATGAGACTTGCGTAACGAGAAGAAGTGCATGCGAAGCTTGCGAGTGTTCTGGAAGCGATTCCAGGAGGGACTGGCTTCAGCGTCTTGTCAAGAATGAGGCAGACGATGTCGTCACCGAGATCCTCAAACGTTGTAGTATCCATGCTGCTTTCTTGCGCCTGATCTGCCCCAGGAATGAACTACACGGTTGCTTCGCAAATGAATCAGTCTTCTTTTGCAATCTTCAGCACGCCATCCTGTGCTGGCTCGAAGCTTGGCCTCCTTGCTCCTTCGCGTAACATGCGCTGCGATTGGCGTCTCTACAAATATCCTCGTCCTATCCTGACGCTAAGCCTAGGCTCAGGACTGCGGAGCAGACATAGGAAGACGCTGAAGATCTCTTATACGCCGGTGCCGGCTGTCGGTCTCTGGCTTGTGGATACCTGGAGAGATTCTGCTTACAAGCCTAAGGGACGGATTTTGTCACACACTGAGGCCGGGATTGATATTGTCGGTCGAACGAGAACCATGACGTCACGAGCTGGTCGATGGTTGGCTGGCTTGTCAAACCATCAGTCTCGCATGTTCGACGCATCTTGAAGACTGGCGGTGCAACTTCTTCGAAGACGATCTGTAAGATAAGACTTACTGTCCTTGCGTCTCACCGGCCCGAGACAGTCGTACTTGTCAAAACTTGTCCAGTAAGCGCAACGCGGGAAGCTCCCGCACTCTAATTTGCAAAATATCTTTCATGATCAAACTTTCCGTTCAAGCTTTCATAACTTCGCTCTCTCAAAAGGCTTACCGGAACTTCAAACGAACTTTGGGCTAAAGAACACCAAGGTCGTAAAGAAGCCTCAAGGCCACCCGCGCTCTACTCCCTGGTGCCTGCGCACTATCTCGATTATAGGGGATCTCAGAAGCTTGAAGCACCAACGGTATGTGAAGCTGGTGAAAGCTTGGGCAGGCATCAGAATGCAGGATCTACCGCTATCTTTGGCCCACTAGGCACGGTCCGCAAAACAACAGAGGGCATGCACCAGTCGGGTTATACGTGATTGCTAAGTTGCCACGGGGAACATATAGAAGCTAGCCGCCCTGAATTGCTGAAGCGGGCCATGCAATGCATGCGTCGCATGCCAGCATTGTCAATTCGCAATTAACTCAACATTCAGTATATGACCCTGCATGCATGACTATACTGGGCTGTCATGCAATCGGAGCTGCTTTATCGCAATTCAAAGGTGATCTTAAGCGCACTAACTGACAATTCATGTGTTGCATGGCGGTTCATTCACATTGAAGAAGGCCAGCCGTTGTCAAACAGGCCATGTAGGCTTCTGATGTTCATCAACTCATGTGTATAGCGGCTAACCCGGGAAAGTTGTCATCGGACTGATCCGACGAGTCAACTCTTGTATCGACTCGTGTCCACTTATTGCAATTGTCCAGCCCTGCCAACATGTTTTATTACCTAGATCTTCTGCAGTTGATTCAATCACACTGGTTCTCGACTCACAAGCTGAGAAGTAGTAGCACTAGAATACCTTAAACAAAACGGCAGGCTCAGCTTGGCAAGCGCTCGCGAGCCAGATTTTCGTGACCAACTATGCCTTGACTTTTTGAACGGCTATACAAGGTTAAATTCTTTGCCCAACCACAGAGGGGAAACTGTTTCATCAGAAAACGTACGCCTAATCTACAACACAGCACGAAATCGATATCTGGCCGCGTCAAGAACCAACGAATCACCCGCCCGCCTACACTAAAGTTCATCCCTTCCACCCCCAACCGCCTCCCTTAACCGCGTCTCAATCAATTGCTGGAACGCGCTGACCAAGGTCATCACATCGCCACTCGCAACCCCCAACACATCTCGTGCGAGTTTCTTATCGACAGCCTCCCGGTACACTGCATCGAGGAAACCTCGGACAAGGCCCGACTGTCCGAGGAGGTTGATCGAGTCTTTGGACAGCCGTTCAGCAACGCGGGAAGCTGTGTCCCAATTGCGGGACAGCCAACTCAGCCGCGCCTCATCCGAGGATAACCGGAGGAGTTCCTCGACCAACGACTTGAGCCGCTGGAGGTCTGCGAGGGTGCTCTGAAGGTCAATGGCGCGGGTGTGCTGCAAGAGTAGGTCGTCATGAGTCACTTGGAAGGAGTACATCGTGATCTGCCCCAACAGCTATGCCCAGATCTCTACAAGCTCAGTTCAGTGGTACAGGGGCCTGCGGCAGGTGCGGACGTTGCAAAAGAAGAGATGAAAGGCTTGCTCTTGGTACCGTGATTAACATTTTCTGAAACGAAGTTGCGAAGGCTTAGGGTCGTGAGCTTAGAGTCGGAAGCTTAGAGTCGAGGAGCTGGGGAAGTAACCCTCATGGGGGAAAAGCAAGCATGCGGGGTGTCAATAAACATGTGGCAACACTTGTCCGCAAGAACAAGCGTTGAAAGTGGGAGGAGACTTGTACAAGAGAACTAGTGTCAGGTGAGTTTTCTGACCGAGTATCAGCGCAGAAAGAGAAGGTTTCTGATAACGAATCAACAAGCATGGCTTGTGCCGTTTGAGCGTATTCGATTCATCAGCTGGAGGCTCAAGGACCGCACTACATGATTGCCTCGATTCTCTGAAACGCCGGCTGCGCACATCTGCCCTTTTGAGTCCTTGCAACTCCGAGTGTCCTCACCTGCGCCAATCCCGTTGCTGCTAGCAAGCCACCTGACGCAACCCAAGGCCCGTGTGTGTAGCTGCCACTCCATTGGCGAAGCCGCTCCGCTCCTGTACGACAGGAAGTGTCAAAGCATGCTGACCGGGGCCATGAATCATGGCTTACACAAAGAAGTTGGTCGCTTGAGATAAACAAGGTACGGCTTCCCCTCTTTGCCCTTTTGAAGCAGCACCGTAATTCGTCAGGTTTGTCAGGATACTTGATGTAGCCGCTGGATTGGACGATCCAGATTTTCTTGACTTTGTCAGCCTCTTTGAAGTCTGATGTTGCAGGGAGGAAACATGCTTCTTGGCCCCCCTCTATCTGTGAGTGTTGCATCTAAGATTCACATTTCTTGATTCAAATTTTCACGGGGCTCACAAAAGATTCTACACACGTGATTGGCTGATTCCTTCAGCAAAGCCCTCCCTTTGCGTTGAACTAGTGGCATCCACTTCACATATTTCTCCATGTCCATGCCATACTTTTGATATGCTCAATAATCCCAGCGCCAATCAAAGTGAAATCCATAAGGAGCTCAGCATCCAGTCCCTTCATTGACATGTGAACAACAAAAAGAGACATGACAAAAGATCTACGATTCGCATGACAGGAACAGATTGCACGCACATACGCCGTGAAGAGCTGGCTTACCAGCAAAGTCACCCCGCCTCTCCCGCTCATTCGCAACACGCTCAGCGACATTGCTCAGCGCACCCGTCACGCTTCGCCAATTCACGACACCAGCGGCCAATGTCATGACCGTCGGGCGAATGGCCGCAGAGAATGCCGCAAAGTCAAACGCTTCTGCATGTTGAACAGTGGAGCTGAGAGCAAGAAGCAAGATAAGAAGAGCCCCACTTTGACGAGACGCCATTAAGTTTCCCTCCATCATTCTGCAATTCTGCAATTCGAAGTTCGAGCCACGCTCGGAATCTCTGAGTCTGATCATTTCTGAGGGCCCGGCCTGCATGGCGCCGCGAGCGAAGAGAAGGACGTTCTGCCTCTAGTTCGCACAGCATTGTCAAGACTCATGTAGTCACAGTAGTGCGCAAATCGGCACCGTCTGCTTGCAGGATCGAACGGTTATTTGCAGCCTGTGTCTCATTTTCGGGCGCGATCCTGAAATCTCTCTTGTTGACGTCGTCTAAAGCAAATTGCGCGAGAACTTGAAGAGTAGTTTCGTTCGCGCAGATGCTGTCCAAATTAGGGTTCCACACTCTACGGGCAGCGCAGCAGCGCCATTGCTATTGGCAGAGATCGTGGCGCAACCTAATTGATTGCGCCAATTGGGGTTGCGCCGGATTTCGCCAATATTTCGCCCAGAGCCCCTATTTCGCCAACCCGGCGCAATTCTCAAAATTATCCGCTTATATGCACATAAGTGAGCAGTTTTGAGACCAAAGTTGGTCAAAATCAGACCGAGAGCAGTCGATATCGCGGGCTTAGCTCAGGCAATTGACTTCTGAGAATCTGCATATTGCGCTCCGGAAATTGATATAAGGAAAAGGTATCTTGCAGCATAAGCGGCAAGCCGAAGGCCCTTGTATTTTGCCAATTTCGCCGAATTGCGCCAATTAGTGCATTTTGAATTAGGGTTAGTGCATTACGGGTTTGCATTTCGCCACGATCTCTGGCTATTGGACTTCAAGTTGGCATCATGGCGCCAGTCGCCTGCCGCCGCTTTGCTGACTGCGCTTCTGCTTGGACCTACTACTATACCTGGGTAGATTCGTTTCGAGGGAGAACAATTTCCAAGCGGTCAACTCTGGGAGAAAGAAGCTTTGCTCTCTTCAATGTTGAAGGAGCAGGCTGCCTTTCCTACGATTGAAGCAAGATCACGCAGCAATCCTAGTGAATGCAAATTTGCTCACAGATTGCAGAGGAACGCACGAAGAGTACGGGCATCAGATGGGGATCAGATACTTCATTCCGGAGTCTGGCATCGCATTTCAATGGGGGAACACAATTGTGAGTTGAGAGCAAGCGTCTAGAAAAGGTCCGACCTTTGCACCCAGAGAGTTGGTTCTTGATTCCAAAAACGATTTGGGTTTCTGTACAGCATATTGAGGGAAGCAGAGATTGTTTAAGAGGAGCACTGTTAGGTTGCATTTTTGTGGAGGGCGTTCGTCCTGGTCCTGTCCTATTAAAGTGAGGCATATCAGTAGATGGCAAGGACGGGAGGGTTTATTGACATTGCTCGCCGTAAGCGGCCAGGTTTGAGGGGTGCAGTGCGCCAGGCAATAAGGACACAGAATTTGTAAAGCTTCACTGCCTTCAATCTAACCTTGAGAAGGCCAGGAAGAAGGCCTTTCTCTCCCTCTGATTTCAAGACGGTGACTACTTAGGGCAGGCTTAGAGTGGACTTGTCTGCTTGAGGTGACCGGAGCAGCACGAGCATGCGCCTCAAGTAACCAGCCATGGGGGAGAAGGCGCTTGTGGTTGCCTCAGAAGGGGACCCCTTGAGGGAATTAGCAGCAGAGTGCATCAGCCTTCTGCGCCACTGTATAGACTACGCTTCAGAAGCGGAGGACGCTCTGGTGCAATGTAGGATAGGAGATGGCCTGCTGGCAAAGTTTGCCAGGATGAAGCAGGCAGAGGAGGAGTCTGGGAAGCGGTCCAAGGCGGTGGATGATTGGCTGGCAGGTAAGCATTCAGGAGTGGCATTGATACTCCCCCTGAGACACTGAGGAAGCCTCAGCTTTGATAGTAGACATAGAATTTTGAAACCCTGGCTTAGATCTCGGCCAATTGTAGTGATGTTGGAGCCGCGCAGGCTGATCCGACCAGAGTCTGCTGAACCAGCTGAAATGCGAGAAGTTTGCATGTGATGCTGAGGAAGACATGTCCTTCTCTCAAGTTGCTGCAGCATATGTAAGATTGCTGATCTGGCTGGGCCGCAGGTTCAGAAGCCTTGATTTAGTTCTCGTCCCATGGAAGAACCCATGCCCTATCCTCTACTCCATGCAATCTGATTGTCTAAGCTTCGATGTCAGATAGCCTTTGCTGGATCTTGCCGTTTGTTCAATCCTATCCTGGTTGCTGAGGCAGGATGCATTAAGTGGTCAAGAATCAACGATTAAGGAGCTCAGTCATCGTTTCAAGTTGCACCTGGACTATTGACAGGGATGGCCACTGCCTCGGAGCCTGTCCGGAGGAACATGCATGGAATGAGAGAGAAAGCGCGGAAGCTGATAGAGAAACGGAAACTGCTGAAGGGCCTCCATGGGGCAGCATACTTCCACAGATGGGTCACAATGAACATTGCGGAGTACAGGTAAAGCATTGGGAAATATGGATCTGATCAGCAACCGGATCACACCATCTAGTCAATTGCCTCAGATTTGGCCTTGCCGCTGTCAATCTGTACGCAAGTTCCAGGATGCAAAAACAGGTCAGGATGCAGGCGCCACTTGCTGCGTTCTGCCCTTATTTGCGATTAGCAACGCTGAGAAGCCGCCCAAACGATAGACTTGTTTGATGCCGCACCATGTGAAGCAAAGCAAAAACTCTTCCAATTTTCACGTCTGAGGACCTTCTTCTCCGCAAGCTTTCACAGATCTCATCTTGACATCTGTAAGCACAGATATGCTAAAGCTTGACCTCCTTACCATGAAACGCACCGCAAACAAACAGAGGTCAAGCGTCTAATTTAAGGTCGAGTCCGCAGCCAAAGCTCAAGCTTTGACGCACTCTACCTGATGGCAAGGCTCCGCTCGTATTTGCCAGTATCCAAGAGGAGCTACCGTGTGATTCCTTGTCACTTTGCGATTCCGCTCCATTACTCTTCAAATAGGAGGCAGATCAAATGTTCATTGCCTAAAACATTCTTGAGTCCTCTAGCGCCCATTTCGTGGACCAATTTCTCAAGTACCGATTATCTTTGGACCTCTGTGCCCTGATATAGACCCAACGATCAGATGCTGGCTGACCGGCAGCAGGTGATGATTCGACTTTCCTTTCGGCCGTAACAGCTTGACCCTGAACTCTTTGCAGAGAACACTTTACCCGGCATGCGCTAGACCTGGAAAAGAGCCTAAGCAACTTCCGAGTGTTGGGACGAATGGACCCGAAGTACGGTCTGTTTGACATTCTTGGTCAAATCCAGAACGAGGACGCGCGCAGGTTCTGGAAGGAGGCAATTTCTTCCGAGGTGAGCTTACATAAGGATCTGGCTGGGAAATCTGGTTCTATCCGTGAAGCGGGTTTTCAATGAAAATTGCTCAGGTGAAGCCGTGAAACGGCCGCACATCGAAGAGATGGCAGGAGGAGTGGAGCTCAGCGGTAGCTTAAGTCCTCGAACGACTTTTTGATGGAACTCTCGAAGCTTGAATGGGGAACTGCGGAAGTCGGTTCTCGCGACCAAGCAATTGCCCGGGGCTTGTTGTAAGGGAGGTCAAGCCTTTCTGAAGCAAGCAGCTGCCAAATATGTCGAGATTTTCCAGGCAAAGCTGTTTCGCACAGCATCTATTGCCAAGAATTTGTAGGATGTGATATGAAACGTTGATCTGAGCTTGACAGAACAGGAGACGATGTCGTTCTTGATCACCTACACGGTGCAGTCCAGCGGGTTAACTCCAATCGGAAGTATCGAGGCCCCTGCCAATCAGAATTATGCACCTATTGCTGTCTGTGGGTTACACTTTCTAGCTGCGCTCACCTCCTCATCTGCTAATGGAAGCCAGTCTCTGATTTCGAGAGTTCCAGTTCATTCTGCTCGGTGTTCCAGTTTCACGTGTCCAATCCTTACTGGTTGACTGTCCGGCCCAACTGACCGGAACTGCCGTCAACTCTTCCGTCCGTATCTCTGTTCCGATCTGTTCCGCTCGTTTCCAAAAGTGGCGGGCGGACTGGAGGAGCTTCAGCGCCGCCATCCGCAAGCACATCAGTTCCGCTCGAATCTCCGTCCGTCTCTTACTCGATCCGCTCCTGTTCAGGTGTGGCGGGCGGACTGGAAGCGCTTCAGCGCCGCCATCCACAAGCACATGGAACAGTGCGGGTTGCCAATCGGGGAGGAGTCCACCAACAGAATAAAGTACGCCGTGTGCGGTGAGTGAGCAACAGACAAGCGATGATGTCAGCAAGGAAAGAGATCGTGAGCGCTGACGTCTGCAAGGTCGTCCGCCGGGTGCGCTTGCTAAACTGAGGACTTACGAATGCGGTCATGGATGAGTCAGTCCTCGTCAAGCGACTCGAGTCTAAACCTCCGTCGCGGACCAGTTTCAGGCGCCAACGGCGCCTGAAAGCGCGTGCCGTTCGCAAAGCTCTTTGGCGCCTGTTTGAAGTCGGACCCAGTGCCTTTGCGGGGTCCTCCTGCGGCGCTGTCGGCCAACTCCCACGACCCGCCTTCTGCCTTGAGATGCGTCACAGCATAAGCCGTCAATACCCTGAGGATGCAAAGAGTTGCAATTCATCATTAGCCACGCGTTCTTCTTTGCACAGTCGGCCACGAGGAATGGCTTCCCTCCAATCTCAACCGGCACGATACCCCGCCTGCTCGGAATCGTGATATAAGATCCGGCGTTATTTTCGGTTACTTGGACAGAAGCACCAATTCACGTGAATAACCCCCTATGTGCGCACTCGGCCACGGCGACTCTGCGGGGGTCTCCTGCTTCCCCTATATTTGAACCGGCACGATCCCCCGCCTGCTCGAAAATGGATTTTGTGATTTGGCGTCGCTACTTGCATAGAATCACAGACCAACGTGATCTACCTTCTACATTCGCAGTTGGCCACGGGGACTCTGCGGGGGTCTCCTGCTTCGCCTTCAACGCGGCGGCGCAGCGGCACGGCTTCCCCTTCGAGACGGCGTCCATGCCGGACCGTCCGCACAAGGACGCGGACAAGTCCGAGCTGACTTTGGGGGAGAAGCTGCTGCTCGCGCGCGAAGTCGCAGAGCTGGTGCAAAAGTACCAGAGCTACGAGATGGCGAACGCGATCCGGGGGGTGAAAGATTACGTGGCGGGCGAGGGGGCGGGCGCGAGCGACCGGTGGGCGCTCTGCTTGAAGGTGAGGGCAGGCTGGAGATGGTCTCTTTCGAAGATCTTTTCCGGGTCCTTTTGCCGGAATGTGGAGGTTTCTCGGAACTTGTTTAGTACTACGTGACCGGAAGGCGGGCCTTTCTCTCGCTAAGGCCGGCGAATCGGGGTCGCAAGGACGGTAAGACGGCAAGTTTCGCAACGCACAGGCGATCAAGAAACTTCGCCTCAAGCCCAGCACGGTGCAAAAGTGTTTGCCAGACTCCGAGCCTCGCACAAGCTGCTTGGAAACCAGCCTGCTTACCGGCGCCTGTCAGAACAAGGCCCGACGGAAAGGTCGAGCTTAAGACTGTCAGAACGCCTTAGTCCGCGAGGTTGTACTTCTGCGCAGCACACGCAGCTTTTTATCCACACCTGCCCGAACAAGGCCCTATTGAATGGCCCGAAATCATAAGGCCAGATCCTCTTATTCAGCGAGGCCTTGTTTCTGCGCAGGACACCCAGCTGTTGGGGCACACGAAGGAGCAGCACAAGCGCGCCGCCAAGCTGGACGAGTTCCGGCGGAAGTGGACGCACTTCTTCACGCGCTTCATGATGCTCTGGCGGATCGGCCCGGTCGCCCACGTGAGTTTCATTGACCCACCTTTTCTTTCCTTTAGGACATCACGTTTGAATGCAGGGCGTCTCCACTTTTCGAACCTATTCAGCGCTAGAATTAATCTTGCTTTCAAGCGTTGGTCGAAGCCGCTCTTCTTTCTTGTCCGCTTCTTACTTGAGGAGACGTGATTTGTTTCTGGCCGCTCTTTCTGGCGCAAAAAGGTGTGCCTGGTAAGAGCCGTTCGCTGTTCGCCGCACGATTCGGAGGAGCGAACCGTTGGCAAAGTACATCAGTCGTAATGGCTGCAAAGGTCTTCTGTACTCCTAAAGTAAAATTTGCATAGCCCGCCTACTCTCTGAGGAGAATTGCTGATCCGACTTTGGGGGCCAGGCGAAATGCAGAACGGTGCTTCATCAAGATGCGACATCTCTGTCCTGACGCCCTGCACATATATTGCCACGTTCGTCTGCTGACTAACCCAAGACCCTCTTCGGACACTGCCACGTCACCACGCTCTCAATTGCCCGCCATTCCCTCCCCAGGACCTCTTCGCGGACCTCGACTTCCCCAACCAGTCCCACATCACCGACTTCCTGCGCGTCGTCGAACCGTTCGACGAGGCCGCGCTGCGCATCCTCCACAAGGGCGACAAGGGCGAGTGGGACCGGCACCGCCCCAAAGTGTACACCTTTTTGCGCCTCCTGCTGCGCGAGATGAAAACGCCGGAGCTATCCATTCCCCCCCCGGTCGGCTGGCAGTCGGCCGGCGTTACCGTTGCGGGTATTCCAAACATGATGAAAAAGCCGTCCCTCCGGCAAAAGGGGGCCGGGGATGGGAACCACATGGGGAGTCCTAGCGTCAGCATGACCAGCGGGAGCAGCGGGCTGTATAGCCCGGGGTTCCCGGACACGCCGAATAGCACAATGCACTCAGAACATTGATAGACTGTTGTTGCAAATACTCGCGTGACTTAGGATATCGATGTATCCGTTATGCGCACAGCATTGTTCCAGGATGCGATCAGACCGCTACGCAGATAGAGAGGGTACCGCTGAGCGATGCATTCGGGACTGAGAGAAACGCGAGGGAACGTCGAGACGAGTTTGCAGGGATGACCAACGTACGGGTAGTGCGAAAGCGTTGCTATGCACGCGCTGCATCGAGACCGACTTAAGTCGACTGATGCCATCAGTGTCGGCAAGACGAGACTAAGGCTTCAAAGATAATTTGTTGAGCTACTTGATTTCCTGATCAGAACAGTTATCAGCGTACATCACTGTTGCATCTTTAGTAAGATGCATGTACATACCAACCATCCAACAATAAAGAAAACGAGTTTGCAAAAGCATCTTAGCTGATCGAGGCTTAAAGCAGCTTTACATACATGCAGACTGATTCAAAATTCATCAATCATAAAATGGAAAGCCTATCGTGATATATGGTGTTGAGCTAGCATGATAAGGGCGGCTGCCAGATTCAACAGAATAATGCTGTCATGATCCTGCACCATGCTCGCTACAATCTTGATTGCGGTTGAAGAATCGAGCTTTCACTAATCGATGCATTAACTTCAAGACGTGCCTGCTAGTTGCACCTGCCACTGCAGGTGCAACTGCAGGGCCAATCAGCTTGGCCGCAGCTAGAGAGCTAGCTCTAGAAATATTTAAGTTTGCACATTTGACAATCATTGCAATGCAATTAATTCTATTGTAGATTGCTCATGCAACTTGATGATCGATGCATAAGTGCAGCCTACACGGTTCTAAGCATGCAAGCGCGGCGAGTGCGGGCCGTCATTGTATAACTGCTTAAACTATTCGACGGTTCATGAGTGACAGCTGCTATTGATTCGACCCTAGCTGAGCAGAAATAGCTAGACGGTTACGATCATTCGTGATCATGACAGCTATAGGTTGATTTGATCGACCAGAGTGGTGAGTCCATGATCTTCATACTGATACCGCTTGCGCCCATGCACAAATCAGCTCCGGTCGGGCTGAAGCTATATATACCTTTGTGGCACACCTCTCAATTGAAGCACTCAGCGTACGAGGCATTGCAATGTATGCACTCTACAGATTATTGAGTAGGACGGTAACTTGACGCGTAAGCTGATTAGTGTCTCGATATATATATGAGTAGGTAGATGTTGCTATCTTGTATTATATCCAGGGGAGTCCGGCCAGGACACCTATCTTTTGTGCTACATCGCCAAAGACACCCATCTTTCCAAGGCCACAACTCAATGCGACCTGCCTCTTGAACACTTCGCTGGCCCTCTTCTGTGAATTCGCATCCAAAGGAATCATCAAATGTCGAGCTAACCTTGCGCACATAGGGCCTGCATTCAACCCCGGCCGAGGAGTGTACCTGTAACCCCCCCGCGCTGCCAAGAATCTGAAAATCTCGATAAAATCGTCTTTGACGATCTTACCGTGGTATTTTCGGCTCATCTGAATGTGCGGCTCTGCCTTGAGAAGGCCTACGACGTCCTCGCATGGAGGCCACGCGTAAGTAGCAATCCACACGCACTCTTCCAAGTGATTGCGCGTCAATGCTGTCGCCGCCGAGGGATCTTGAGCCTTCAGCCATTGCACATTGCTAATATGCCCATTGTTCGCAGCGCAGACCGCACACTTGGCGACGTCCCAGGGGCACGGCGGGACTTGATTTCGCAACCACTGCAAAGCGTCGAGCTGTCCCCGCTCTGCAGCAGCGGTGGTCACAGCTTCGCTCCAAGCAAACGCCGGGTTTTGTGCCCTGGCCCATTGAAGAATCTCCAACCTCCCCGCTCGAGCGGCCACCCAACAGACAGAGTTTCTGGTCTCTGGTGCTTGTTCCGTCAGCCATTTCAGGACCTCAACATGTCCTGTCATCGACGCAACGTACACGCACTCGGCGGGGATCCAAGGGCATGGGGGCTCTTGCCCTCTCAACCATTGCAGCGTCTCTAGGTGCCCCTGCATCGCAGCATTGAGGCATGTGCTAGTGTTCCAGCAAAATGGAGGCTCCTGCGCCCTCGCCAATTTCAGCAGATCCACCCTCCCCTGCCTCGCGGCCTCACAGCACACGTCTCTCTCTGCCCTGGGGTCCTGCTCTCGCACCCATTTCACCACCTCGAGATGCCCATTCTCCAGAGCCCCCAGAGCGCAATCGACCCCAACCCAAGGGCAGGGGGGAGTCCGGCCCCTGAGCCATTGCAGCGTCGCCAGGTTGCCCGTCACAGCGGCAGTCAGACATGTGGTCGCGCACTCCATAGCTGGATTCTGGAGCACACCCCACTGCGCAACCTCGGGCCGCCCCATTCTGAGTGCCATAATCACCACCTGATTGCACAGTTCCTTGTCCCAATGGGGCGCGGGGTCTCTTGCCCGGGCCCATTGGAGCAAGTTCAACCTCCCCAACTTGGCGGCCAGCAAGCACACTCCCTCAATAACAGACGCGTCTTGCTCGTATATCCATTCTGCGACCTGCAAATGACCCTCCCACAAAGCCGCAAGCGCACAGCTCAGGGCCCCCCAGCGGCGCGGTGGTGTCCCCTGTCGCAGCTGTTGCAAGCCGTCTAAGTCCCCCCGGCTTGCAGCTGCAAAACAAGGGCACTTATCTTTCCCATCTGGCCTTATATCTTGCATCTCTTTTGGGATCCCTCCACATTCTTCAGGACCCGAACTCATCCCTGGTTCAACGTTGATGGCGCGGCTGTCATCTGGAACAACATCTACATCTACTGCTTTTCGACGAAGTGTTGCCACTCTCTTACTACAGCGCCGCCCTGCTGCAGCATCGAACGCAGTCTCCATTGGCCTCTTGGGCCTGGAACAAAGCTGATCCATTTGAAAAGAAGGGAAATGGATGCAGCACCGCTTTGAATGTCGCCCTGCGCTTTGAATTGAACAACAAATGAACAAACTTTCCAAAAATTTGGAGCGTTCGAGTCCGAGTCAGCGTGTGGAGGACCGTGCATATGTGGGATCCCTCTGGCTGTGCAGCCGCCATTGGCATAGGTTTGAGCCGTCCGATCAGCACAAAACCCATCAACAAATTGAGGAGCTCAAGGGCACTCCAAATGTTTGCATATCGTACGGCAACGGCGTCCACAAGAATTGTTCGGATCGGACGATTCAGAGCTCCCTTCTTGTGACATGCTTCTGTGCTGGCGGGGGTCGCGCAACTCTAGTTCGTCCGCAGCATGTTTCAGCTATTGCTGCTGCTCAGGCGCGAGAGGAAGGGACGTTTGGAGTGGGCAGGACGAGCAGCCTGGCGGCAGGAAGTGGAGGCAAGAATCCCTGTGGAGGGTTGATTTGTGTTGGCAAGGTTTGGGGCTGATTTTGCAGGCGCTGCGGGGTGTGTTCCGGAGGCCTTTCTAGGAAGTGCTCAGGGGTTTGCTGACATCATGGCGGCCACAATGTCCGCCCGATCAGTGGGTGCATTCATGGGCACCGGGGTTGCGAGCGGGTCGGGGCGGAGGACAGATGCAGGGGTGCCGAGGCAGTTGGCGGGAAGCAGGTAAGGGCTGCATTCTGCTACTGAGCAGCGTTGACGAGCATGCCTTGGGTGTGATGTCGCCTTAGGGTTCCTGACACATTGATCTCGCGTCGCAAATCTTGTGTTCAGGAATTACCTTTCGCACAGAGTACAGAAGGGGAACTGCACAAGTGACAGTCTGGCAGCCATTGCTCCCGGGGGACTCATTGCTGAGACATACACTGTCTTGTATCACAGTTTGGATGTGCAGCGGTTGTAGACGTCTTGTGCTTTCTACCTATGCCTGGCTGTTCTACCTAGGGTTTTGTTGGAAAGTTATATTTAACCAGAGCGGAATATCTGGGGTTGCAATGTGTGGCACTCAGTCCCTCCAATATTTGGTGGCAGAAACGACTCTGCACCAGCTTTTGCAGAGCGAATGTGGCATCTATTTCAAATGGGGTTGCATTGCGTCGTTGGATTCTGCCTCAGGTGCAGCTGCCAAATAGCACATTGCACTGGTCTTGTGAACCGTCTGTTCTGTGCGTGTTCCGGAGGTCCAAGTCGAGATGGCTCGGGCGTGGCCATCTCACATTCCCGTTCTATTCTGAAGGATTACAGAGCACCGGCTCTCATACTGTGTGTTGCATCTTGGTAATGGTGCATATAGCGGGCTTGGCTTTTCTCGCCTTGACGATCGCTTGTACTGAGCTCACTTATTTCAGGAAGGGGACCCTGTTGTCCATTTTTGGTAATGGTGGCAATGCTGATGGACGCTGGCGGCATTAGAAGCTTCGAAGTCAAGGCTAAAATCTTCCGGACGTCTTTCGCGCACTTTTTTGATGCTCTTGATGGCGGGCAGCGCTCTGGCGCCCTTATGTCCACCATGCCGACACTGGTTTGGAGACGGAGTCTGGCTGATTCTGCAGTCATAAGGTGACGCAATGCTTAAGCTCCTGAACGCTGTTGCTAAGACACAGTCTCCGTGCTAGAGCTTATTGTCACAGTGGTTACTTGGAATGAAGCAGCGCCATTGGATGATGGCTCATGAAGTCTGCTACATCCAGTATATCAGTCAGAACAGGGATTTATTCCATAAGGTGTAAGGGTCGTTATGTATTGTTATCCTTGGGAGCAATTGTGAGGAGTGATGGAACTCTGGCTGGCAGCCTTTTGTCCAACCACTCTTGTCCTGCAATTGATAAAAGTCGCCGAGGGAAAGCGAACGTGAACGGCCTGCTTTTGCTGGATACACGTCTTGTTGCGTTTCTTCTTGGGTCTGCTTCAGCAAGCCACGCTTGCCAGCAACAGGAAAGATCCGCAGGGATGCACTAGTGATGACAATCTTATGTTGAGTGTGCAGTTCGGACGGAAGTGAAGAGCTGTCACGCGCTCATGCTGATTTGCTGTTTCCCGCCTTCTTGCCTTCTTGCCTGGGTGTTTCTTCAGTCCCTTTTACGCGTTCGTCTACCCAGAAAAGACACATGAAACATCATTCTTTTCGCGCTCTTTGCATGTTCCGATCGTCCATCTCCAGCCTTCGCTCTGCGTGCTTTACGAGAGAATCCCTTTTGTCAAAAGGTGTCCAGTCCTTGGAACATTCTTGAGTTTGTGAGTGACACTGTCTGTTTGCAAGCTCGTACCGGTCAACTCAAGCTTGGGTGCTTCAAAAACCGGTTGTCTGGAAAGGACGGTCTGTCCAGGCAACTGTGCCATTGTCCCTTTGCCAATGCCTTCACACAATGACTCTGCCGCCCTACCTCTGGTGCGAAGCCAGTCTGACTCAGAATGTCCGCTCGTCATGCAATTTCCGTGGCAAAGACCGCACAACTCTGAAATAGCCTTTGATGAGAGAGTCGCCTCTGTTCCTTGCGCCGGCAGATTTAACAACTGCCTGAGGAGAGCTTTTCCATTGTCCAGAGGCCGCTGTTTGGCTGGTCAAATATCCGTGTTGAGGCCTCTTAAGGTTGGTATTGGGAAGCCACAGGTTGTTGCGAGGGCTACAGGGTTTGACTCGCTGCATTTGCTTTTGTCTGAAGGCCACAACATAGCCAAGAGAGTCCGTCGCAGTCTTCTCGGCTACTGAACGAGAATCATCTACCAAAGATGCTAACAAACGCCTTTGAAACAAACGATTGCAAAGCATACGACAAATCAGACAAGAGGCGACGCAATAGCGATACTTTTGCTAACCACCCCCCTCGTTTGCCCCAGGTACGCGCCCCCCCAGCTGCAGAGCTCCTTCGTCGGAAGTGCAATGACCATGAAGGCGCAGCCCGCGACCGCCAAGCAGGGCGCCGGTGTGGTCTGCATGGGGCAAAAAGTGCACCCAACTGGGTTCCGTATCGGGATCACGGAGGACCACAACTCTCACTGGTGAGTGTCTCGGGCTTTCATCGCTTGTCCCAGTTTGGAAGTGGGGTTTGAGGGATCTAGGAGCTTGGAGGATTCTGCTCATGGCCCTGCAACCGAGTTCCTCTTTCGTTTCTGGGGACTTGCTTCGAGACTGGGAGGATTCCTTTGCAGCCAAGGAAAGCTTCCCAGAATCTCAAATGCGCAAAGAACGATGAACTGCTTTCCATTTTCGAGCTGAGAATGTCAAGTGACACTACAAATGAGCAGAGATAGTCAGCGAACGATCGTAGCAGGTTTTCAACCGCGAAGACACAGAGGGATTGTTGTTGAACTCATCTCCGCTGTCAGCACTCAGTTGGCTACGATTCAAGGCCGCCAAGCCAGGTTTTCTTAACGTTCAACTGTGTCTTAAACTGCTGGGAACATTTCTGCTATGGTCTAGCAGCAGCTTTGGTGTTTGCACAAGTGCGAACACATACAAACTACAAACGATCCGTCGAATTTCAGCGAGTAATCGGATAGACATTTTTTCTGAAGCCGCAGTCTTGAAAATGCTTTGGACGATCACCCCAGTCATTTGCACAATCTTTTGTCATCTGTGAGAAACCCGCCCTTGAACCCGTATGAGAACAGAGTGACGAGTGTACTTGCCTTTTGTAACCTAGTTGTCAACCTCTAAACAAGTATGGCAAGCGCAACAATTGTGCAACTTGTAAGCAGATAATTATGCCTTTTTTGTATCCCTTCCTGAACCCGAAACGCGAACCCTCCAAACAGCGTGGAACAAGCATAACCTTGTGCTCAACCTCTGACCAGGTACGGTAAGGGCGACAAGTACGCCAAGCTTCTGCAGGAGGACGAGGAGATCCGGGACATGGTCTTCAAGTACGTCCGCAAGAACGTGCGTACTCCGACCAACTACGGGGGGGTCGTCAAGGTGGGCGTATCGCCGTGACCCTTCTTCGGCTATCGTAAATTCCCCCTTACTTGAGCGTTACTAGTAGTAAAACCATTCTTGAGGATCCCCATGCTCGAGAGTCATCGATAGTGTACCAACCCTGGGTGGTCGTCAAGGTCTGTTTCACCAATCCTGTGCCTTCCTCAGTGGGCATATCTGTCGAATTCAAGTGTCAGCGATGCTTTTGACACTTATGGTTACTAAACACCGGCCTTCAGCTTAAACGGTTTAGCCGTTTGTTCTTGATTTTCTGCCCTTTTCTCAAGCATTGCTTAGCCTTGTGCGTTTTCAATTCAAACTCAGGCCCTTGGGCTGGTCCTCCGCCCGTCAAACCTAGGTTGGCGTTGACTGCATTGACTAGTGAATGTGGGCACCTTCACGGGCCACCCCGGGCAGCCATATCTGTTGTTTTTACCAAGATTTTGCTGACCCGCTCCTTAAGCCAAATGCAGTTCGGCGATAACCGCGTTGTCAACACGTTCAACGTGCACATCTTGTTGGGCTACTCCGGGCTGTCATTCCTGTTATCCATTTTCCGGATGAAACACGTAAGAATACAAAGTAAAAGACATACTTGAGCAACTCTAACCCTATTGTAATCCATCCGCAGGTCGGCGTTGACCGCGTGGTCGACAAGGTGAACGTGCGCATCTTCACGGGCTACCCCGGGCTGCTCATCCGCAACGACTCCGTCTACAAGCTGCGCGACCTGTTGAAGCAGAAGCTGGCCAAGAACCACCGCGTGCTGGAGATCAGCCTCGTGGAGCTGAGCAAGCCGGACGCGAACGCCGGGATCCTCGCGGAGTTCATTGGGCAGAGGCTCGAGGAGCGCGTGCCGTTCCGGAGGGTAGCCAAGGAGGTTCTTGACAAGGTGCGTGTTTTTGAAATTCTGCTGTCTGAATCTTGTGTTCTATACAGTGCTGATTGCTTGTTTTTTGTTTGAATCTGTTCTTAAATTCTTGCGGAGTTCACTGGGCAGAGGCTCGAGGAGCGCGTGCCGTTGCGGAGGTCGCCGAGGAGGTCCTTGACAAGGTGGGTGTTTTCTGGATTTTGCTTTCTGTCTGAATCTTGTGTACTATCAGTCCTGATTGCTTGTTGTATTTGTTTTATCTTCTGCTCTGCTCTTGTGGGCTTTACTTGGAAGAGGCTCGAGGAGCGCGTGCCGTTGCGGAGGGTCGCCAAGGAGGTCCTCGACAAGGTGGGTATTCTTTGGATTATGATTTGTGTCTGAATCTTGTGTTTTGTTAGTCCTTGGTTGTCTTCTGGTTCACCTTGCGGAGTTCATCAGGCAGATGCTTACATGATTGTGTGCCGTTCCAGAGGGTAGCTAAGGGAGTTTCCGACAAGGTAAATGTTACGCTCGGTCTGAGTTCTGTATTTTTCAGTCCTGATTTTGTCGATGCTGGTGGATTCATTGGTCTGCCTCCAGCATTTCGGTGGTGTTCTTGGATGGTGTCGGGATTCGTTCGCCATGTGCTTGTTGGGATCGTCCTTAAGAACACGTGGCGGGATGTAAGTAAGGCATTTGTATCTCTTTGGAAATGAGATCTCTGGGCGGTTTGGATTGCTGCGGGGCAAAGTCGAGGTTGCTCAGGTTTTGAACTACAGTGCTCGTCTCCTCATTCTGTTGAGATTGGATACGACTCTCGCTTTTCTCCTACCTTGCTTCTCTTAGGTTTGTTTTTTCAAGTCGCGGGATGTGATGCAGTCACACGGCTCGTTGACCTGTTCTTAACCTACAGGGATGGCCCTTAGAGTCTGCCGTGACTCAAGTCGAGCGTTTCTGGGCATTTTAAGTGCTATCAAGTGTGCTAAAGTCTGGGATGTGAAACAGACTGCATAGGTACCTCAGAGTGACTGCTTTATATCTCAACGGCTCGTCTCTTTCTTCCAGGTATATGGGCTTGGTGTTTTGGAAGGTATCAAGATCCAGGTGGCTGGTCGGCTGAACGGTGTCGATATCGCCCGCACGGAGTGGATTCGGGAAGGGCGTGTTCCTCTACACACGCTGCGTGCCCAGATTGGGTATGCCGAGTATTCGGCAAACACCATTCACGGAGTGCTCGGAATCAAGGTTTGGGTTTCGCAGGGGGAGCGGTTGTTGAGTGCGAGGATCACATAGTAGTACCAGGTTTGATAGTACTCCAGGTTCGTCATGAACCTCTACCTCTCGGAAGGTTTAGTTATGCAGTAACTTGTGGGTTGAGAGACCAGACACAGCAGCTATTGTACAATGAAGCAAACGGTTGGATGCTCAGGTTTTGCCCAAAGTCAGCGGTTAATCTCCGTCATGAAGTGTGTGTCACTGATGTGTGTGTGCGCTTAAGGCTCAAGGCTGGCATTAATACCTTTTCGCATCATGCAATCAACATTGCTGTTGAGCTTGATTATCATATACCGTCAAAATGCATGATAGTTTTTTGCATGGACTATATCTTAGTGCAAACTCAAGCACAATCAACGCACTGATAAGTTGCTAAAATTCCAATACGGGAGGATGATCGTGCATGCACTACTAGGCTAGCTTCAGGAACGTCCATCTTGCTTACGATGTTGTGTCCTCTTTGATGACATGTCGTCCGAATACGCTATGATTCACAACCAGGTCTGTAGTGCGACCTAGCTGTAAGGGGCGCGCTGGCGCCTAGCTCTTTGCAGAATGGTACACATGTTTCGAGTCATTGTGCTGGCGCGATCCCGATTGCTTTAAGATTCATAGGGAAATATCCTGACTGATATAACCCGAGGGTTAAGGCTTAAGGATTATTGCTTCAGAGCTTTTCTGCCGGCTGAGATGCGTCTACGTTCCATCGACGCGGCGCGCGGGCGTAGATTGGCACACTTTGGAAATCGACGGACATAGTACTTCGAGCAGCCCCTAAACCCTGGGGTCTTACTTAGCCGCGCGTAGCGGCGTGAGGCGGCCGCGTCACATCACGGCGGCCATGGATGCTCAAGTTCGCTGACCGTTACGTGCCGGGCCACAGGTAGACCTGCTTTCCAGCAGCGCATGCATTGAAGGGATGCTCATGTCATCAACTCCTCAAGTTCAAAAAAGCAGCGGGTAAATGGCACCAAGCAGGCCTGTCAGCTGCCATAGAATAGCGGGGCAAACGCATGTGGCAAACGGGCTGCCAAGGCAGTAGTTCGCGCAGTAGCCCCAACGGGGACGTGAGTGAGTTGAGGACCTGAGCAAAGTGCAGAGGCAATAAGCTAGATGGCCCCCAGACGCAACACGTCAGCGCTGGCATCGAAAGACGAAGTCAAAGGGGTGCCAGAAACAAGACAAGCGGAAAAGGCGGTCACCCGTTCGACTCATTCAGGTAGAGCTGTGCAGGCAACCACCTCGCAGGAGGGGCGCCAGACAAGGTCGGCGGAGAGATCACGCTTCGGAGCCTGGCCAGCTTTGACTGTATCATTTGCCTCAGCTGTGGCCATGACTTGCATATGACCGTATCTGAGGAGCGGCTTCCTAAAGTTACGTCTGAACTCGCCAACCAGGTCAGTTGGTCAACAGACACTGGGAAGTCAGACAGGGCAGTTTCAAAGCGAGCTGCTGTCGTATTCGAGTTGACACTAGGGGGCGGACTAGCTAGGTACTGGATTCGTCAGCTCAGATGCTCTTGATGACAGTGTATCCAGAAGACTCGGATACATTTAGCTAGTAGGAGCACGTTCAGAGTCCGGCAGGAAAGGAAGAAGAGCAGGTAGTTTTCCCTTGGCACGTGTGCGAAATCAGTCGGTCTGAGCTTGTGACACAGAGCTGACGTCATCGAGTCCGTCAGCTGGGGTTGTCTGGCTTCGAGAAAAAGCGTTCTCTGCTGCAGGTTGCCAAAGAGGAGCCAGCTTCCACGGAACGAGAAAGAACACCAGGTGTGCTGAAGACTTTTCCAAGGGCGGTCAGCACAACCGATAACCATAAGTTTGCGTTAACGCAGCCGTAACTTAACCTTAACTCAGCCGTAGCTCAGCTTCAAGCAAGCATCACGGTTCGCGTAATAACGTTTTGCAAGCGAGTCTCAATCAATTCTGGTCGCCCTGCAGTCTTCTCGATGGCCTCGCTTTCTTGTTGATCTTTCGCAAACCGGGAGTGAAAGTATGTAGAACGGTCGCTAGCAAAAACACAATTATATCGATGTGAGCGAATATTGCATCACACCAGCAGGGAGTGATTGAGGAGTTCACTCTTCTGCTTTGCAATTGCTTCATTGCTCTCTGGTCAATTAACACAGAAATCAGCTGATAGCAGAGGTGTGCTCTTAAGGTGCTATAGCACGTCTTTGAAGTTCTTTAGGTGCTCTTCGGGCTTCAAGCTCCTGCCATTGTAGTCAAAAAAGTCGCATTTTTGCAACACGAAGGTCCTTGCAGGAGAGAATTTCTCATGGCACCAGCCCTGCAACATGCTCCGCTTGCTCAAAGGCCATCAGCATGTTGACACGATGAGGGCCTGCGGTAGTCTGCTTTGGTTGAGCGTGCATGCTTTAACATTGAATATGTTCTGGGGATAGGATCATAACCCAGGGGGCTTTAAGCTGGTTTCTACGATTCCACATGACAGCTGCAAGTTTAAGTTTTCACCAGAACATCTTCCACGTACAAAAGCTTCCTGCTCTGGCTGACGTGGAGCGATTCTTGTCGAAACTGCAACACTTGAAAAGGAAGGGCTTCACAGCTTATCGGCCCTGGAGAAACGCTTTCTTCTTGAAATTTGAAAGCGAATTACTTGTGGCTAGTTCACGGAGGGGCCTGTGCCTGAACAATCAACTCGCCACTCCCTCGCGTGCAAGATCTGATCGTTGTTCTTGCAGACAATACGCGGATCGTCACCGTTGAGAGGAGACACTTCCCTGATTATCAAGCACTGCAAGACCCCTTAATTTTCAAGGATGAGGAGTACTATGAACAGTTCATCGCAGCTTACGTTGGGGATAGGTGACCGCTTATACGACGGTTCTCAAACCATCACTTTTGAATGACAACGGCAAACAACGCTCAGTTTGGCTCGAAACTACGAGCCAAAGCAGGAACTGACTCTTTTATCTTCCGCAAAGGCCTTCATCCATATGGCTGGACATATAAAGACATCACAAACGATTCAAATAATATCATATAATACAAAAATCCTCCCGCAATGTGCGGACCCGGATATTTAACTGACCTTCTGTCACGTTTCTTTGGCTACAGGGTGATGGTTACGGATGAACGTGATTTTGGAGCAAGAGAGGCTGGATATGACGGCTACATACAGTACTACTGCGCCCGAGTCGTGGATGACTAGTAAGTACTGAATAATGAGACAGAAAGTGGCAGGGAGTTTACTAAAAAGGAGTATAAACGGTCAGAGAGGTGACCCACTAGCTAGTGACTGTTAAGACCTGCATCGTTGCCCAGCCAAAAGATATGCACGTTCATGCAGATTGATGGATGACGACCGTGAAGTCAGAGTTTTGATGGGTGACACAGTCGAGTATCTGTTGATTCGAAGATTTTATTCGGGGGTTGAGTGCTTGACGTTGCCGAAATCCTTAAGCCGCGCCGGTTTATTTTGAATATGCGTGCGGATCAGATAACCTGATAACACGCACGTACAATCATGCAGCATGCTTGGGTGCATGCGCTCAGTCCGACACTCAGGAGAAAATTATCTATCTTCTCCAGATCCGATCCAACCAGAGTCACGGTGAAAAGATAAAGCCTGATCCACCGCGCTTGTGTTGCATCCAGTGCAGTTTTCAACTTGACTTCGAATTCTTAAAGCACGTTCCATGCAGCTACCTATATGAGTATACCGCCAAATGTACTGTCACTAACATGTGCATGTGCATGATCGATTCGATTGCAAACGATTAGCTAGCGTTTTCAACTTCGCAAGTCCTCATGCAACGATGTGCAGCCGCCGTACTGTGTACCGCGCGTAGACGCATATGCAGATAAACCACTGCATATCTCTTTGAATGTTTGACTGCAATATTTGCGGGCCGGGTCCGGTCGCCTTAAAGGGGGCGTAACAGCTGAGTCAGCACGCAGCGACTGCAAAGCACATTTTGGCTCTCGAGCGTCGCCGCGACAAGAACGTTACAGGGTAATTCTAGGCGACCGGCAAGCAGTATCCTGGTTGTTGCAGTCGCTCTGTGACGTCACTTCAGACGCATCTGAATACGCCCTCTTTAAGATCACATCATGATGCTGTACGTAGCGAGTTGCGTCGAAGCTAGCCCGCGGCGCATGGTCCGACCGCGGACAGCTTCAATCTGCAACCAAAGGGTATTCCATGAGATGCCCATGCATGGCCACGATTGCATTGATTCCCACCACAGACAAGAAAAGATGTCATCGACTTGACTTTATCAATCGGGAGCATGCAGTCATCCTGAATGAGCGCGCGCCTAACGAGATTGTCCAAAGAATCGTTTGGACGTCTTTGGTATAACCAGTGTGTACCGCACGAAGGCTCGTTGATCAGATTCCGTTTCTCCCACTCGAGTCCAAAAACGTTCATCGGGTGCTCGAGTCCGCCAAAGGCTTCAACAAGTTATACGACAAGATGCTAGATGACCAATCTCCCACTAATCCACAACTACGATACCCTGTCCTGCTGGGCCTCCCAGATTACAGTGCCATCGCACGAGCACAGATTCTTCAGATTCTGCCCCACGCCTGCACTCCTTGCGACCACCGAAGCGAAGGCATTTTCCGTGGAAACCTTATCACTTTCTGAGATCACCAGAGCCCTCCCAATCAGATCGTACACTCGTAGTTGGACCACCGCCGTTGGAAGCTCCGCATGGCCGGTTTCGTCAGCATTGGCAATTCCCAGGAACCCCGCTTCCCGCCCCTGCAACAAAAAGTGGGTTTTGTCTGACCAGGTCTGGAGCCTTTGGGATCGAGGTACAGGGCTTGATAATCTATCTTGCGTATTTCCTGTGAGGCATCGTTGGCTTGGCCAAGCACAAACACACTTCAAGGCGCATTTAAGAACTGCACTGGCGTCGGCCTATGAAAGGAGCTGTCTTTGTTCACAAGAGAAGCTTCTCACCCCCAATGAAACCAACACGCACTTCAAAAGGGTACTCAAGAATCGACCGGCGTCGGGCTATGAAAGGAGCCGTCTTTGTTCACCAGGGCGTTCTCACCCCCAATGAAACCAACACAAGGTCGAACCCTTTTTAAAGCAACACACAGACCGAAAGCCATAGACAACTTCGAAGGGGCTAAACACCAACCCGAGGACTTGCACCCACCTCGTCGATGTAAATACCCCCGGTGCTGGCCGCCCCCCGGGTCAGGTCCCCGTACTGGTTCAGGAAGACGGCGTGCGGGCCCGGTTTAAGTCCGTCGAACTGGCCCTCTACCCGGGCAGTGTCCTTGGTGACTTGCGCGATGCGAAGGACGCCCATTACGACGGGGCCCTTGAATTCCGCCACCGCCGCAGAAATCTCAAACTCTGCGGAAAACGGATTCAGAAAATTTAAAGAGATAAAAGTCAGCCGCAGTCCGGTCGAACTGCCCTTCCACCGGGGCCGTGTCCTGGTGACTTGCGCAATGCGGAGGACGCCCATCACAACCGGGCCCTTGGATTCCGCTACTGCCGCGGAAATCTCAAACTCTGCGGAAACGGAATCGGAACTTTAAAGAAAGCAAAATTCAGCCGGAATCCGGTCGAACTGCTCTTCCACCGGCGCAGTGTCCTTGGTGACGTGCGCGATCCGGAGGACGCCCCTCACGACCGGGCCCTTGGATTCCGCCACCGCCGCGGAAATCTGAAACTCTGCCGAAACGGAATCAGAACAAAGTCAGCAGGATTCCGGTCAAACTGCCCTTCCACGCGGGCAGTGTCCTCGGTGACTTGCGCAATGTGGAGGACGCCCATTACGACCGGGCCCTTGGATTCCGCCACTGCTGCGGAAATCTCAAACTTTGCGGAAACGGGATCAGAACGGAATTCGCGACGGAATCTGGGCGACTACGAGAGCTTCCAGAATCGTTCTCCGGACGTAAGTGCGGCTTTGCTGACACCAGGCAAGTCCGTGAGCAGCCGCGAGGAAGTCGGCTGATTCCTACTCTGCCGCCACGATCGATTGAACTTCGCAAATCGAGACTCAGAGGGTTGCGAACCGGTCCCAGAAAGGTTGGACTCGACATACTGACTGCTCTGCAAATCTTCCCTGCAGACCTGTGAGCAGGAGCAGTAAGGGACGCTGAGTCTGCCCATCAACGCCGCAGTGCAGGGTCTGCAGAACACAATCAGAACGCAAAAAGTCCTTTTGAATGAGCATCAAATTGACAGTCTTGTGCTCGGTGTCTAGGCCCCTTTGACATTCATTGAGCAGAGACGGTGAGCGCCCTTGGCTCCGCCACAGCCCCAAAGTCTTGCACTCTGCGAAACAACTTTTTGGAAAGCTGATTGCGAGCGGTCCACTTCGAAACACCCTTCTCGAGGTTCCAAAGAGTTTCCGGACGGTGCGAAAAGTCTTTCATAAACCCGAGAGAGCAGCTTGCGACGTGAGAGTGTGAGGTCCTCCGCTGCCAGATTGAACAGTCTGCTCAACGAGCTTTAGAGGGACGTGGTCAACAAAATCCTCTCGAAAAAACAAGTCTTTGATGATTTTGGAGGCTTTTCAACAACTCTGAGTGAGGAGAAGAGGATCTCAACCCTCCGAAATCCTGACGTAAACGAAAAGGACGAATAACGAAAAGGACGAATTTCAACCTCAAGATTTCAACCGGAAAGAGAGGTTCGGGGGATAAACCCTCGGACTCTGATCGATCTCAAAGCAAATAGATTCGACGGTCTCAAATTAAGCATCCACTTAATGAGCGAGAGACGGTGAGAGCCCTGATGATCTCGGCTCGGCCTCGAAACGTTCAAAGGAAATTCGCAGATTCCTGGACTTAGTCGCTAGCATCACTCGAGAACGAGGAACTCAAAAAGGAATATCACATTGCAACTCATGTGGAAAAAACGTGACGGGTCAAACCACATGTCGGATCGTCCTGAAGCACATGAAGCCACATCAAGCGAGAGAGTAGTAGATGGCACTAGATGCTTGCATTTGACAAGCTTCTACTCAAACTTTGTATGACAAAAGGGTTAGGAGCTATGAGTCGTGAAGATCGCAACAGCTCATTGAAAACCCCTAATCTAGACTTAGCCGTTGATTCTTTGAACTGCTCAAATCTTACCTTCAAGCGATCCTTGGCCAATGAGCCTGTTCGCCCTTCCCGTCTCTTCCAAAGCTTTCTGGAGCGACTTGAGAGACTCTGTCCCTGTGATCCGAACGGTCTGATCCGACACGCTCGTTCTGATGTCAGTCACACCTGCCAATCGACGGCAGACCATGTCAAAAATAATGCAAGTTCGCTGCCCGATAGAACACCACGATCAGGTTGCCAAACCTACAGGGGAAAAAGGATTCGATTCATCGTTGCCCTTCCGAAGCAATCAACTTCTTTGAGCAAATTTACTTCCAAGCTTCTCATTATTCTTACGAAGCGTCTTCTCTGTAAAGACAGCCTTTTGTTAGATCTACTTACGCTACCGCTTGGCCTTGAGACGCTTGATTTCATCACGCAAACTAACTATATTTGTGATCCTGACCAGCCGAAATCCAATCTTCGAAATCTTTTGCTTCCCCCCACTAAGACATGCTGTTTTCCGTGACTCGCCGAAGCAGCTTGTTCCATTCTCCAAACTTTTAGTGACTACAAAGACAGTCCCAGGAAACTTTACTAGACACAGTTCCTCTCATCCTTCAGTTCCAGCGCACGAAGCAGATTCCATTTTTGAGAGAGACATAGATGTAAGCCTCCTCTGCCTACAATTCATCTTCAATCAGAAAGTGGATTCGCAAGCTAAAAGTGATGTAAACTGGCCTTCACACAAAATGCAGGGCTGCGTGGGATTACCTGGCAGTGGGTGCAGCTTGTTGCGGACCGAGGTGGCGCACCCCTCGCACATCATGTCCACCATGAATTCAGTCTGTACACACAAGGCCCCACCAAAACTCACGGTCTCATATATCACGCAGTGAATTCGAATTTGATTAGTTACGGCTATCTTGAATCAGGTCACTGCCTAAGCGATCAGTGGTTTTGGTTTGGGGGCTTAGAGCGGGCACGCTTGCAGAGCATGTCGATCTCATCTAGGTTTTACTTTGTGCAAAACAGAAAGGAACTGCGGAGACTCAACATAGCCCTTAAGATAACATGAAAGCGAAACTTGTATGTCACGCTAGCCCCACTAAGACCCACACTTCTCAAAACATGTGAATTAATTGACTCAATTTATTTCTTTGTAAACTTTATGGCCTACTATTCTTCTGAAGGTAGAGGGACCTGTCCCAGAAGCACATTAGAAGTCTCTACCGGTTGACAGTCGGTTCACTGAGACTATCTTCATGTACAGATGAAAATGTCTCACGTTCTTACAATACCATCCAAGCCAGTGTTACACAGAAGCGCGGGGTGCAGACTGGGCAACTGAGATGCACATCCTGAAAATCATTCTCATTGCAGAAGTTCACGGGGCGACCTTCAATGGGCATGTCCACTGCAAGCGTGTTCTGACGCGGGGGTATTTTTGCACAAGACCCTTGTTCGATCAAAACACCAGACCAACGAAATCAACCAAGCAATCAGCAAAAATTGAAAGTCAGCTTCCATGAAACATAGTTTGCCGCTTACCACTAACTCCGGTGCAGCTTCAGCGCTTGCCTGCACAGTACACAAGGTTCAATCTTTAAGAGATAGTCCTAAGCAGGGGTGCAGTACAGATTGCAAACAACGGCTTATACACTACTGTCCTACGGACGATCTAAAAGTGTCGCCAAGTTCCCCTCCAGATTCTGCAGAAGGTCAACCCATGCAGGTGATCAGTCAAGCTATCCAGAGCAATAGCCGCAACTCCTTAGCCAATCGATGTGGCGCTTCTGCACTTAAGTTCATCTTCCAAGATACAATGTCTTGTCTGGACACTCTGCCCCCTATCACAAAAATCTTCTGATAGACTATGTAATTTCGTGGTGTTCCGAACAATCTAAACAGCGACAAGGGCGAAACCGCTGCTTGGCTTACCTCCGCAGTTGCCGCCTCAGCCCGGACCATCCGAGATGGGATTCCTGCTCTGACCCCACTCATGACTGAAATAAACCTGTCTGATGTGGACGCGCCTGCTGCTCCTCTGTGGCTCTCAGTAAAGTCTTTGGACAGCCCCCCGAGCAATGGGCCAGCTGCTGAGGGATTGGACGGACCAGAAGAGACGGCTAGAGACTGATTTCTAGCTTGATGCGTATTTGTTGTCTGAACCGATGCTGCAGCGATGGTGGCTGCTGCAAGAGTTGTGGAACAGCGCAGTGCGGAGGCCATCACACGAGTGGGCAGGTCAGAGAGCTTGCTTTCGCAGGTGACAGCAATTTACGCAACGACGGTGACCAACGGAAGACAGATGCAAAGCTGGTTGAGGGCGTTCAAAGGGCGAGGAAAGGCAATCTGGCAGTGGAAGAGAAGGGACGTGCAGAATCCGCAATGCTGAAAACGTCTCTTCTCTGAGGCTGTTCTCTCAAATATCTTCCCCCAGGGTCGAAGTACCCACTTTAGGTAGAAGCCAACTCAGTGCCCTATGCTCGTAAACGCGGTTCGCCAATACCATTCCTCTCTCTGCACCAGAAATGAATACAGATATTATAACAGTAAATTAATCTTCTCATATTCAGGAATATCATTGTCATAAGCAGAGAGGTTATGAGAGTACCCGCCAGCAGAACCTTCCTGAATCGGGGTCATGACCCTGTAGGCTGTGATGATGGCTGCCATGCACACCACATTTTGGAGAGATTCACATTTCACTGATCAACATATCAACAGCCTGCAATTCAACCTGCTTCGTGAAATTCATAGACTTTCTTACATTCGCCTAACCACCTTCCATAAGCGCTGCTGCAGCCATGGCTTCCGCTTGCATCGCCTCCTCCGCCCTGGCCAGCGCCTCCCTGAGCAGTTCATTCAAGTCCGTGCTGCCCTCCACCCAGGTGCAAAGCTCCTTCCTAGGGCATGCCATCTGCGCCAAGCCCGCTCACAAGGTTTCCTACAGGAGGGAATTGGTCATCAGCGCAGCATTGAAGAAGGCCGTTGCAGTGCTGAAGGGAGAGAGCAAGGTCACTGGGACCATCACGCTGGAGCAGGAGGATGACGGTGAGTGAATAGACGCTGGCGCTTCTGGTAATGCTGGAATGCGGGAGTGGAATGTGGCATAACAGATTGCCTGCATGCATCCATACCACCCTTCCTTGCTGCATTTTCAACAAAATTTCTCTGTATATGATGATCAATGTTGTCAGTTTGGATACAGTGAGTGAGAATAGTTTTTGGATAAGCTGCAGTATTGCGCTGCCGACTGCTTCTGGATAGTCTCATCCTGGGAACGGATCATTTTGATCAAGCAGACTAGTGCTGGACGCTTTCTCCTGTTGAGTCGATCGATGTGCAATCTGGTCTTCCAGAAATATATCTTGCTGCTGAGCAGGTCGATGTCTTGCTGAGCAGGTGGATGTGAAACAGCTTGCCTTTGATGGCGCTTTAGAATTTTGTCCCCAAAGGTTTTTGTTGTTTCCATGGACTAGAATTTCTGGCAGCATTCCCTTTTGTCCTCGAACCAAGCTGTTGGGCCATATGAAACAGCGGTATGGCGAATTGTGTCACTGATGTGACCCAGTACGGGGAGGTGGAGGGGAGGGGGAGGGGAAGGGGAGGGGAGAAGTTGGAGCGGATGAGAATCTGGCCAATCCATCTTGATCAGGAAGGTCATGCAGCCTCAGCATTATGCAGAGATTATTCACACATGTATCAACGCCGATCCCATTGTTGTTGGAAAACGGTGCTTGCTGCATTGTTTGTCTTTTGAATAAGGAAGTGGCCAGAAAGAGCAGCGCGCACGCTGTAGACACAAAGAAGAAGGGAAACCCTTGAAAGTATTACTGTTTAATGCTGGTGTCAAATCTCCAAGGCTCGTCAACCGCAGTAGACATAAACATCCGCATACTGGAAGCACTGAAAACACTGCCGTCATGTAGGTTGATCAGGGGGTTTTTCAAAGGGGATTTTTTTGAAACATCTGCAGGCCCGGTGAAGGTGACGGGGAAGATCACTGGCCTGGCCCCTGGCGAGCACGGCTTCCACCTTCACCAGTTTGGCGACACCACCAACGGGTGCATTTCGACTGGTGAGTGTCTGCTCCAGTGCAACAACAATGCTTGGCTGGATTGATCTGAACCGTGTACTCGTTCGCACAAGAAGCACATGCTTCGTACACCGATCGTTCAGCGAAGCTCAATCTGTTGACAATCAAATTTTGCTCATTCTCAATCATCATTCGGTGGTGCATACTGCCTTTCAACCTTGTATAAGTTGACTTGTTGGTGTAGTCAGCACGAGATTAGTGAAGCATGGATCAGAAGGTCGCCCTCCGTTTCTTCTTCGCCACCAGAACGAGACTGTGCTTCTTGCAGGGCCGATGCTCCAGGGCCCCTGAGCAGCGAATCAACAACTAGGAGCTTCTTAGTAGAAAGCACATCTGGCCACTTACCTTGTCAGTGTATGTTCAGATGACAAGCATTTATTTTCTTTGCAGGTCCTCACTTCAACCCCAACGGCAAGACCCACGGGGCCCCTGGCGATGAGGAGAGGCACGCGGGGGATCTTGGCAATGTTGTTGCTGATGATCAAGGTAGTGATTTACCATATCTTCTTCCAACAACTGCAATGGACATTTACAGATTACAGACGGGGCCATTTATTGCTTGGCTTGGTCTGTAAGCTCTTTTTCCTTCTGAGTTTCAGGACTGCTGCCTAGACTGCAATTTTGCTTGAAAGCCTTTCTGTATTTTGTACTATCTTAACATCTCGCTTCTTTCTGTGCAAATGAGTACTTCCAGTGTGTCTGTGAGTAAGGTGTGTCTCTTTCTAAAACCATCCTCGCAATCAACCTTGAATCAACACCTGGATACACAGTGGGCTAATATTCTGGGACACTTGGCAGACTTGCTGCACGGGAGCGCTGCAACGGAACGCTGGTTTTTCGTTCTGGTTATCAAGATCTGACAAGCAAATAAAAAGCGGTTCTGTTCTGCAAACATGTACAATTGTTTGTCTGGAATGAGCAACCCATGCACTTTCGCCTTTGCCTGATTGATAAGGCACGTGCACCTCCGGATACCTGTACTCCGTCTATGGTCTATTTTGTTTGTTGTATGATCCTGTTCTGCTGTTAAGTCAGACCAAGCAGTCCATTACTCCATTGTCGGGCTCTATGAAGGCCCCAAAAAATCCACCTTGCTTTGCCACGGTCATCGAGTGAAAGTTACAACCTTTTGGTGGCAGTTGATCATGGCAATTTTTTAACCTGCAGCGCACACGCCTATACGCACTTCGTTTGCCCCACAGAGTATAGTTTGACAGGTGTGCACGCCTTGCTGACCTAATGTCACCAAAACACTGATGTCACCCACTGCTGTCGCTCCATCAGGCGTGGCTACCATTAATATCACCGACAAGCAGATTCCCCTCAGCGGGCCCAACTCCGTCGTTGGTCGCGCCTTTGTTATTCACGAGCTCAAGGACGACCTCGGCAAGGGTAAGCCACATTCCGTCTGCTTTACATAGTATCCTTGTTTGCGTCTGTCTCTTTTCCACTTTCTCAGGGCTGTGCGTACCCGAGTGAGTGCACACGATCCTGCTGAGATTCTATAGCACCGTATCCTCTTAAAGAGCGTTCACCCTCTCTGTTACCATTTTTCTTCGTGAGAAAGAAGCAGCGTTAGTTCTTGTTCAGGAATCTCGCAGCCCGGAACGGGCCCATCACTCTGACGCCTTTCAACGGCGTCTTCCAAAGCAAAGCCGAGCAACGTTGCACGACGTTGAAGCAAAAACAAAAACGAAAACAAACGAACGCAACAAGTCACTTTGAAGTATCCAGTAATGGGACCACACTGGAGCTTGTCGTTTCCTCTTGATATGGCTGCCACAGATTCTGTCTCCGGTGTCGAGTAGCTGCTTGTGTCAAGTCTCGGTCCTCCTTGAGATGTAAAATGATATTCGAATTTTTCGTTTCTTTTCAGGCGGCCACGAGCTGAGCTCCACCACAGGCAACGCCGGAGGCAGGCTCGCATGCGGTGAGCATCTCGCATTATTTCTCTTGTCACTTAAGAGGGGCGGAGCTTCATTCTGCCTTTCTGAACCTGTCAGAAAGTCTTAATTAACAAATACGAGATGCCCCCTGAGTGCATGACAAGGGGGGCGGTAAAGCACCTCACGTGCTCACCAGCGAAAGCTTAGCAAGTTTCAGGCGATGCCAAAGTGCTACTACTGACCAGCGGATCTCTTTGTGCGCGCCTGGCAAGCTGTCTCAGTTGCTGTCGAGCGATTGTCGGAGATGGCTGCCATTCATCAGCATCGCAGAATTATACCTTCCTGCGCCTGAAGCACTCTCCTACAATGAACTTGTATCTTTACGCTGCCGGACTAGTCTTTACAATGTCGCGAAATCACTGCCGTTACTTTTTTTGGTTGTTGGAAGTGGCTCTGCAGCTATTGGAGGGTGTTGATATTGTGTGCCTGCTTCTATTCACTCGTTTGGTCGCAGTTCAATAGGTGAATGGTTGCAACCCTCTTGAGAGTCAGGACTGTCTTGTCGTGCCTACTGCATGCCGGTTTTGGACCTGCCTCTTCGAGTCGTTTCCAATCCTCGTTGAAGTATTTTGCTGAATCCCGTCGATTTGCAAGCTATGCTCACGTTTGTTGCAAAGCGAATTGTGAAGAAAACAAAAAGTTCCGATAAAGTCATTTACAAACGAGAGGTTTGATAGATTGTTGTACTTGAAATTGTTGCAGGTGTTGTTGGCCTCACCCCTACATCCTGATTTGTATGCGGCGGCGCAATAATGGGTCGCCCGTGCCTTTCAATCTGGTAAATGGAGCCTTGATAACAAGAAGGCATAGCAATTTTTGACTTTTCGAGGAACCATAGAAAGTACTTTGCGACCCTTCCTGCAAGCACAAGCCGTTTCTTACTGCACTTTCGACCAGTTTTCCACAAGCAAGATCATCATCCAAGGATGCATCCCTGGCCGTTGGTGTGAAGTCTCCGATTCGTCCTGTAGCACTTCAAGAGTCACAATATACCCGTGGAATGAAGCAATTGTGTGTACGGGACCGGCATGTGCTGACTTGGTGAACTTCGCTGGTCAGGGACTAACATCTGCTGATTCATGAAGGTCGCTGGTCAACCAAGTGTGTGCATGCAAGGTCTGGAGCAGAATCATAAATCAGAAATGTTAGAAACCTCAGAAACAACACCGGAAAAAAAAAAAACCCCGCGGAAAAAGCGGATTTTAAAAACTTGATTCGGCCGCACCTCTAATCAGGAACATTTCAAGAAGTTCAAACCTTTGAGGTTACCTTCCATCCAACGAGAGTCAATTTGTTCGCCGAACCCGTCAAGTTTTACTCGGTTTGGAAAGGTTGAGGGTGTACGTCCGGTTAGTGAGTGGCCCCCTCATTGTGTGTGGACGGTCAAGCGGACTTTTTGACTATTTTGGGGGGCGATGATGTGAGACAACTGTCAGATTGGCCGGGCCGGGCTGGTTTGTAAAGTGCAAATCTGAAAGGGTGTTCAATGAATGTGACCGGACCCTTTGAGATTTGCATGGCCCCCCGCCTACAGTCCAAACATATCACCGTATATGTTCAGACACTTGTCTCTTGAGCCATCCTTGAGCTCCTTTACATGTCTTTTTGCCGACGTCACCGCATGGTAGATAGTCCAACATGTGGATTGTCCAAGTCAAGGAACGTCCTTAAGGTCAATTCATTACCTGTGTGCTCAATCAAATTTTATCTGCCTTGCATCGGACACATCTATCATGGATCCGGGCCTCCTCTTCGGCTCCAATTTACTGTTTATTGTTTCATCACATTGTTGTATCTCATACAAACGTATCTAGCGGTTTTGCCTAGCTAGCGTTATATATTGAAAGCCATCAGTGATAGTGCCAAGCATTGCATGTGGACCGTCACGATGGTGGCCGCTTGGTGGCCGACCCATCCCTTGTATCAATGTGCCATCGACTACGTGTTCTAGGCAAGATCTGAGTCCATCAAATTATTCAGCATGTATATTAGTAGTTGCCTGCAGCCGCCAACTTTAAGCCACTCGGCTTTCCACTTAATAAGCGGCAAAGATGTCAACGATCACATTCTTGTAGCCTGAGTGGTCGGATGCTGCAATGATGGCTCCATAGTTTTGGCGGAATGTATATATTGTGGACTCCAGTCCCGCAGTTAACACTATGACTATGAGCATTGAAGTGGCAATTCAAACGGATCCAATTGGCCCAATTTGGGCCTAGTGCATATGGCACTAAGCCGAACCTAGCTATCTGTCACCGCCTTGTCATGCCATAAGGCTCATGAACAATGTACGTACCACGTAAATCATGTGGACTATGGAGCTTCGAAGTGCTCGGACTCCGGAGTCCAGAGAGTCGTGCATGCGTATAATTAAATGGATGATCGCCATATTGATCGGATCCGATCAACGTCGACGTCCTCTGAAATGAACAAGCCCAATCGTGAAGCATCTAGGGAGACATGCAAGACCATCATGCAATTCAGCAGTACCACAGATAGACTTCTAAAATTGCACCCAATACATCTGAGCAGATGGATCAATATTGCACCCGTAAAGGCTTAATTAAAATTTTTATTATTCATGGATAATTAGCGGTAATTCTATCCCTTATTTTTTCGCGGGAGGTCTCACTCACGCCCGCATAAATTGCCGCAAATTACGGACTACTCGGTAATGGTATGACAAGACTGAATGGTAATGGTGAAGTTGCACGTTCTTCACATACTAACATAGCTCAGTCTCC